TAATAATAGCACATATTATATTGAAGGTTATTTAAAAGTATCAAATGATGAATGATGAACGAAAGATACGCCTTAATAATTTTAAGAACCTAACTATTTTTAGGGATACTTTTAAGCATTATAAGCTGATGTAAATATACTGCCTGTTTTGTGCGGGGACGATAGGAATATTTCGTTTTTTTTTCAAAATAAACTTCGTCATAATATTAATAAAATAATTACGTGATGTGTATGTTCACGTCGGCATTAGTAGGGGTCCGTACCCATAGCCACTGAATCGTCTATCCCATGCATATCTATTATTGTGCTCCGCGGTTTAAAAGTATGCCTTACCTAAAATCTATCATGCTGCAGGTTGACGGTTGAGGTTATCTGACGGCAAAAGAACATTTTTAGATGAAAATAAAATGGACATAAAGAAAATATCCTCGAAGAGATTATCTATTGGTCCATTCCATTTTCCTTTTTACTCAGACTTTAAAAACTAATTGATTTGAGAGCTGGATAAACACTCCGCTCTGTTAAAACTAAAGGGGTTAGTTACATATTTTACAAAATAAGAATAATTCTAAAAAAATGATTTTAGGTTTAGAAATAGGCTCAGTAGCGTAAAAGAAATCAGTTGTATTCTAACTAACACTAACCTCCGCGATTATGTTAAATGCTTTTAGTTGGGTTGAGTTGACGTAGATTGTAGTTGATACGGATATTGTAAATGCGCAGCACACGTTACGTATTACCATATAGTATAGTCCATCTAAAGGTTGCCTGGAAGAGATCGCAGACCCAGATAAGGCCGCCCATTGTATCACTGTTTTTTGTGTTTGTATTCTACATCGTATGTATCCTATCATAGTATACAATAAAGAGTACCTATATATGTATCTATCTATTGTAGGTGAGAATAAAACCTGTAACCACCAACCACCACCTGTACTAAAAATAATGTTGTTAATTTTACCTACGAATTAAATTTTGCTATAAAACGCTTTAATAAAATTTGGATGCGTAGAAAATCCATTATTGACACTAAATTAGAGGTTCTCAATACTTACAAATTGTGGCCTTATCCTTGCCTATATTAAACAACAATCTTCATCATTTTGCACTGATGAGGCATTACGTCTCATTTATGTAATGTTGAAATATCAATTATAACTACGTATGTTTCCATCCATTTCTACATGTACAAGGGGCTGAAAACCAAAACTGCTGTCGTATGTAAAGCGAAAACTTTGGAATACGGGCTTGTAAATTCGTGTTTCAAGGAGGTCTGAAGGCTTTCACAACCTTATGTGAAGAACTTTGTTTTTGCTACTATTGATATACTTAAGGTTGAATTATTCTGCTTTACAATGGAAATTTTCGGGTATTTGCAATATAATACTACAAAAAATATTACTGCGTACAACTTAACACTATTAGTATGTAAGGCATTTAATATATGCCTCCTTTTACACTGACCTATTTTTAAATGCTCAATTACATAAAATGTGCTTGAAATTTGCCGAATATAAAACAGTGCTTATACAACGTTCATTTATTGGCTCCATGGGTGCCGTTTCACCGCAAAATCAATATTTGCATAATGGTACATCATGTTTTAGTAATCAAAATAGAATATAGGGATTTTAATACTGGACGCATGTTGCATACTAATAAAACATTCTAACTGTAATAATAATTTGTGGCTACATTAATTTGTCCACCTTAACGTAACGTAACGTAACATTGTCAATCGATCTTGCTTCTTCTTACGTCAGAATACGAAACGTTAAGACATATGTTTTTTGTTTTGAGAGTAAACATTTTCAGAAAGCTTACCAATGTACTATATAAAAGTCAAGATAGGTAAGCGCCCTGTTACAAAAAATATTTTTAGACATTACCGGTTCGATACTCAATGGCCGCTTGTGCCCCATTTTTAATCCGCCTTTCGAAACTAGGTTTCATGACTTTCTATGCAGTAGAACCCGCGTTTAAGGCACAACAGACACGTATTTATATATGTAATGTACGAAAATTAACATGCAAATTACAAAACATAAAATCGAATATTTTATTTTAAAATTTAACAAAATAAGTAAAAATAGTTAATAATAATTCGGACATCTAACACACAACGCCATCTAGTTTCAAACTAAGCAGAGCTTGTACAATGAAAGGTAGATTGACTAAAGGTATTTTTATAAGTACATACATATTATACATAGAGAATACCTAAACTCCGAAACAAATATTTGCAGATCATACAAACATTTGGTCCGACCCAGTAATCGAACCCAAGACCTCAGCACAGCATTCGCATAAACTACAACTGCGCCATCGAGGCAAATAACTTTTAAACAGCTATAAAATTACTACAGTGTTCTGGAAATAATCAGACCATCTAAATATCTAGACAGACTGGAGCTTACAAATTGATTAATTGTTTGTTTTAGCAGTATACATTATTCTTATTCTTCTGTTTTAGGCAGACATATGAAATGGTTTTATATATGTTGTTGAGAAAACTGGAAGTTATGATTTTATTCCTGGTTAAATATGAAAAATCCTGCCTGCTCTTTTATAGTCAGTGGGCGAGGTGATTTCCAAGAGTTCTCTCATTCCTTTTGTCGAGACTTTGGAGGATCGTTTTACCGTTTAATTGCTTTGAAGCGGGCGCATGAAGTTTAACTTTACAGTTTATAATTTCACTGTAAAATTGGAAATAACTGTTTCTTAAATCTTTACCTGTATGTCTATCTATGTATACATTTTGATATTCCTATGATGTTAAACGTTAAGACATATGTTTTTGCTTTTTTTTGTTTTTATTTTTTTGACATATGTCGTATGATATCACACGAATGCCTAAATGTATACGTTTGGAATTTAGTCATGAAAATATATTCTTTATTTAAACTACGTAAGCAATCACCTAAATACAATTTTACTTATTAAACACAATTGTAGTAATTATAGGTTTTGGAAACTGAATTTCCGGAAAAGCTCGGCAAAACATGGAGACTCGATTCTTGAACTATTTATAATAAGTACCTACAAATTTGTACGGAACTCTCGGTGGGTGAGTCCGACTTGCACTTGTCCAGATTTTTGGATTATGTAACCTAATTATGATCCACTTTTATGACGAAGTCTTCTTATATTCTCATCGGGATAATCTAGATATGTTTTTTATAGATGTAAAAGATGTAAAACTTTATGAATCACGCCTACACAGTCATTGCACTATAACAACACAGGCATATTAAAGTAGTGTTATCAATAATGAGATTTCCATGAATCCCTTCATGGAATTCTCATTATGAAGGGATGAAGGGATTCATGCAATGACTGTATAGGCGTGATTCATAAAGTTTATATTACATGGTGCCAGAAAAATAAGTCCATTATTGAATCCCCTGTATAGAAGTTTTATCCATAAATATAGTTTTTTCCTTCGCTGCTGAAGCGAGTAAATTAAGGATGCTCTAAGCGGCCAGCGTATATGTTCATTCTACAGAAAAAAACGAAAGGTCTACTTATTTCTTGTAGCCTAATTTTACAGAAGGTCAGTAAGGCATTAGGCGATGTCAGTAATGTAAGCTTCGACCTTTGGAGGGCAAAGATACAAGATACATTATCTTTGAGTGAAGTAAAGGCCATTCAAATGTAACTTAGGCTTATGTACAGATCAGTAATGGAATACTGTAAAATTGTAGGAAAGTCAAGGAAAATTTGCATATATATATTTTTCTATGGTATAAGGGGGCAAACGAGCAAACGGGTCACTTGATGGTAAGCAACTACCGCCGCACATGGACACTTGCAACTCAAAAGTCACATGTGCGTTGCTGCCCTTCGAGTCCCTCCCGTTCGAGTCAGTGACAACGAAAGAATTGCTTAACACCGGCTTTCTGTGATGCCGTGGCATATGACTTTTTCACTTTATAGTTTTCTTTGGCCTTAGACTGGAATTTTTCTTTAAAGTACGTTAAATAGTTTTTATTTTATTAAAATTAAAAACATTTAATCAATTTACTACAGTTATCCATACGGGTTGTGCAAAAAAAGCACGTGCATATAATTTCGACTGAAATTACAAGTATGTGTTTTGGTTCAAAAGTTCCTTAAAAAATCAAAAAGGTTAGTAAAATTGAAATACTTATTAACATGTGACGTGATCATGTACCTTGCCTTTTTAGGTATAATCCTTGTGATTTTATGACTAATTCCAAATAAAAACGCATGTCTCTTTTGTACCCAAACCAAGACGACTTAAAATATTTTGTCGATAAGTTTGATTGTTATAATATTCTGAAGTTAATAAACATTATGTAACTATTTATAGACTACAAAATTAATGAATATGTACAATATATAAAAAGAGGTTTTAATGAAATAAATACAAATATCCTTCAACACCCTACAATTCACAATATAATTCCTTGCAGATACATTATGTACGCCACAGTTGTTGCATGAAATTAAACCGAACGGATTTACATGTTATCTTCCTGGTAGTAATAAATTAATCATAAAAAGTCTTTGTTTAAGAAAAAGCGACAATGGTGTTAAAACGAAATACCTCATATTTTTAAACAAAAGTTGTACACACAATTAGAGTTTGTATAATTATTCCAATCAATTCCTATGAATTTGTTCACCTACATTGTGTTGCTCGCATCTACGACAACCTCAATTTATAAATTGACCTACATTCCATCTGTAGTAGAATATTACAGGCCCTTTCCATTCCAACTTTGTCTCCCTTCACCTGTAACGTATTTTAAAGTTAAAATTGTCTTTTCCAGGCCAGGAATCATGGAGTCAAGCTTGCGTCTGTATAAACTGAAAAAGCGCAAAATTAAGTGGAAGTGCTGCTGGCCTATCTTCGTAAACGTATCAAAGTAAATTAGTACATAATTTAATGTAATAGGACTATCATTTTTAAAGTAATTGGATTGTGATAAGATGATCAAGTGAGTTGGTAATGAGTGAATAGATTGGTTTCTGTGATGGGGTGTGGCCAGAGTAAAATAAATCTCTATCCGAGACGAAATAAAAATGGTGGCAAAGGGAACAGTTCCAAGAAATCAGGTGAGCATAAATCTTACAGTACAGTTTCTGTAGGCTCGTAGTCTTTTTTTATTATATTACATATATATGTATTTTAAATAAAGTCTTAACGAATAAATAAATCGTTAAAATGTTGTAATTTTTTAGTATTGCCATTGTTGCATTCTATTACTTGCACAGTTTTACTAAAAATTTAATCTATTTATGATTACTTTCTTGATTAAAATATGATTATATTTTTTTTTAGATAAAAACATTTAGGTACTCTTATTAGAATAGTATTTCTATGCACAATTACTTAATTAAAAATTATGAAAACGTAATTGATTATTTTCGATGTCGATTGTAGTACTTTAGCTCATTAACTTGAACTTGTGTTAATGTTTTTGTTCGAAATCAAGTAATATTTAAACTTTCATGATTTATTTGTATAAAGTTGTTATTTTTCTTGAAGTTTGCAATAGTTACTAATCACATTAAATTTAATTCATATTAAAGTTTTATACTATTTGTTTACTAAAATGCCTAAATGCAAAATACTATATATAAAATAGCTGTAAATAAGTAAGTTTAATTTATAGTGAATTACTGCACGAATTGCGTAGTGGTTTAAGCGGCCGCCACGGCGATTCCTACATGGGACGCTACTTTGTGTGATCCACAAAGAGTCTGGGTGTTCTTTATGTTCGTTTCATGTATCTTTGTAAAGTCCCCAGCGACACAGGAATATGTATCCCGAATGCGGGAGTTTTTTAGAACTTTTAGAATAGAATAATTAAAATTTCTTTGGAATTAATCCAAGTTAATTGTTTAAAACCCTCCGAAATTCTGGCGCCCTTTTTTATGTGTGGTTCTTTGTTACATATATACGTGCATACCCTAACGCCTATATCTCCAAAGTGGTAGGCAAAGATATATTAAACGCCTACATTTTGCCAACTCAGTTTGACTGCCTCGGTGGTGCAGTGGTAGCGTATGCGACTGCTGTGGTCTCGGGTTTAATTCCCGGGTCGGGCTAATGTTTGTATTTTCTGCAAATATTTGTTTCGGAGTTTGGGTGTTTTCTATGTATAATATGGATGTATTTACAAAAAAAGTATATAAGTATTCTACCAGTCAATCTAGTTTTCACAGTATAAGCTCTGCTTATTTTAAAACTAGATTCATTTGTTGTGTGTCAGATGTCCGAAATATTATTATTATAGCTATAATTCATCCCAATTTTGAAATTTTCGTAATACTTTCACAACTTTCGCGTTTATGTTATAGATGGGGAATTTGAAAGTATATTTAAAGTAAGATAGATAAGAAAGGAATTCAATGGCAGGAAAGAGATATTGCTAAAAAATTTGAATGCTCTCGACTCTTTGCCTATTCCTAATCATGATTATAAATAATAATGATCAATATTTAAATGACCAATAATAACGTTCTATCAGATTCATTAAAATTACCTTCATAATTTTATTGTTTTGGTAGTTTAATTACCTTGAACATTCAAAATCTAGAAGAACTTCACCTCATTATTTTCCTTATTGTGTTCTCAAGAGAAATTAGAAAGCTTGGTTTAGAACTATTTATGACATCATTACTGATAGCCATATGATATAACATTTTTTGCCATATTGGATTTTTTTCAAATCAGGTGCAGCCTTTAGTTACTTTTTTGACTCCTAGTGTTTATAATAGAAAAGAGATAAAGAAACTAGTTAAGTAGTTCAAGTCTATTTCAATTATGAGTGTCAAATAAATTTTGCACCTATTTCTTATTTTACTAAAAGGATTGAAATTTGAGTGTCAAGTTCATCGGTGAAATTGCAAAAACGCGTTTAAGAGCAATACCGTGTAATTGCAAAAACCGTTAATTTAAATGTTTATATACTCGTATTATCCATACTTATATTATAAATGTGAAAGTAAATTTTTGTTTGTTTGTTATGCTTTCAAGCCTATACAACTAAAATTCTTTCACCAATGAAAAGCAACAGTATCAGTGAGTAACATACCGACATACACTCGGGCGGAGCGCGGCTCCACCTGCACATCTGTCGCAAAAGCTAGTCAGAAATATTGGTAAATTTAATCGTATTCCTATAAAATATCACACAATCATCCCATACTAGTCCACTGCTGGACATAGGCCTCTCCTTAGAAAGGAGGTTTTGGCCTACTATACCACGCTGGCCAGACGGGTTGGTATAGGGTTTGTTTCAAGTTTTCCTTCTCTTTGCAGTGCTGTTGTCCTGCTTAGTTTGCTCCCTTAGTCGGCTCTTACGACACCCACGGGATGAATTGGGGTGGTGACAATTTGTATTCTTAATCCGTCACCACACGGACAGCAAAATATCACACAAAGCAATCACAAACAAATTAACTAAGTATAGTAAGTATTAACTAAGATAAACAATAACTTTTACCTCCGATAAAATTAAGTAAATATTGATTCGCGGTTTTGCAAATAGCTCTTACGCACATTTGCAATCTCACCGACGAAATATCACTAGAACATTCAATACTTTTTCAATATGGTTCATGTATACCTTATCTAAAGCGTAAAGGTGAAATTCCCCGTCTAAAAGCGGGTCTAGAAGTTTTCTTATATATTTGATAAAGCGAGGTATGCAGGAGGGAACGCAAAAGGCACCAACGACGTGTTCTAAATATTCATGAGAATTTTGAAGCGGTAAGGCCATGGCAGTGTGGATGGCGGTTGGCGGTAGCGGGAATTATATAGTGTCGTCTTTATTTATATCATTATATCTTTTAGGGTTCAATACTGGCCTCGAAGGTACGTATTGAGTTTTTGCAAAGCTTTTAGTCTTTTCCTGTCTATATATCTTAGATTTAGAAAAAAGTGACAACTGAAAGTCACAGGAGATAAGACCAAAAAGCCAAACATTTTTATTCAAGTATTTTATTAAAAATGTCCATATGAAGTAGTATCTGAATATCAATTCCAATCATCTCAAAATTAGGTCGGTTTTGGTTCGGGTTGCACAACAAAATTACGCTCTTAGGTCATATTAATACTTTTCTTTATGTTTTCCATTAGTAATCTTTGGTTCAATAATAAAATTGTGCACACATAGGTAGACAAAAGAACATATTAACAAAATTGTCACAATGATTTTGCTCTTAGAAGCAGGTCTTGAAGAAACTTCGTTTGGTAGAATCTTCGATCGCAATGCGCAAGATGAGGACATGAGCACTCAATATAACTCCGGAATGTTTGTTTTGTATATTTGTTCTAGAAACCGCTTTACCACACACCGTTATTTACACTGTAAATGTAAGTATGCGAAATCTATGAAACAAATGAATTATTATGATTTATATTGTTTATCGCGTGTGTAACATTTTTCGTATTTTTATTACATATTTTGACATATTGTATATTTTGAGGAGCTTGTTCGTGTAGAATATATTTGTAAATATAACAAAGAACTGAACCTTTAAGTCGCTTAAAACCAGACTTGACAACTTTCCACTAAAGGCTGTACAGTTATGTTGTGCTACCCAAAAAATTTTAAAATTTTAACATAAATCTTTTACGTTAACCCTTTTTTGTTGATAACTTTCTTCTAGAGCTTTCTTTACGTCATAACTATTTGATATATAAGATATATAAGAACAACTAACGTTGATTAATACCATGATACCATTAAAGTAAGAAAACAACCGGATATATTGATGCTTTTGCTGCCAGACCGGATTGTCCATTCGTGGAAAACTGGATGGCGACGGTCATAGGTCAATACAAATGATAAATATAAGTAAAAAAGTAATAACTAACAATACTAACTTGTCAACTTAAGCACTAGTGTTACTAACACTAAAATACTACATACATACATACATAAATATGAACCTTAGTCTGAAATAAAAAGTTTATTTTTATTATATTATAAAGAGCCTCATTTTCGGAGTCGGAAAATAAAACATTTAAAAATAATGTAATTGATGAATAAATTTGAATTGAGATACGTATAGTATACTTTTATCAATACATATTTTACATATACATATATTTGATTCAGAATAATTAGGCATAAAGGTTCATGCCTTTATTCCTTCCCTTTGCTCCTTGCGTAGAAAGACGTCCATTTCTCCACTTAAGATGTTTTTTTTCTAAGTGTGTATCTGTGAAACAGAACATATTAATTACACATGCTCTAGGTTTAATATATTCTGCTTTGAACATAGTTGTTTATTTACTGTCAGTTGACACATACTACAAGTTGTAATTATCATGTTAACACTGAGTTAATCATATGAAATAATGACTCAATATAATTTAATTGTACACATATACAACATCGTGTTTTATATTTATATTTCGAGTAGGCAGCTAGCAAGAACGTTCTAATTATTTCTTGCCAGTCTTACGTTGTTTAGCAACCAAAGAGCGTAAAGATATTTTGTTAAACTGCTCAAACTGCAACTTCATGGCCTCAACCAAAAAAACATTCGAAACTTCACCAGAATGCGGGAAACCATTGTTTCAACAATCATTAATTATGAAGTCTAATTACACGGGCCTGAAGGGACAATGAAAAGTAATGTTTTTTATCCCTTGCCTGTCCTTTGCATTACAATACTATAGAAATACGTTTGGCCTATCTATTTTAAGAGCTCATGTATATGTTTAACGATAAGGTTTGTAAATGGTTTTATATATTTAACTAATCGTAATGCATTTTAATATAAGTCGAATAAGACTAACTAATTCAGTGTAGCAGTTCATACTACTTTATCTTCTGAAAAAGTCGCTATCGCGCGTAATCTAGAATACCGAAGCATTCTTAGAAATCGGTTTGTTCAGAACATTGAAAGTCAATAAATCTACTTAGGAGACGATTCATAATAAATACGCTATAGAAGTGTCGTGCCTCTAATTCTTAAAAGAAAATGACATGATTGTATGTTTTTGTTCAAACAGCTATTGAAAGGCTTCAAGTACACGTTTACTGGAGTTTCATTTGCACTTTTACTGGAGCTTTATCGTGGTTTCGTCGTCGGCC